TGATATATTTGAAAGACTGTTTCAAGTAAAAAAAAAACAAAATTTTTTTTTTTTTTTTTTTTTGGTAAATATATTTTTATTCGATGTTTTTTTTTTTAGAAAGCAGATAAAAGTCAAGAAGGTTTACTAAGTCCAGAAGAATTCTATGATTTTTTTCAGTTATTAACTCAACGTAAAGATCTCTATGAAATAATGCAAAAGTAAAATAATTTTATAGTATTCAGACTTCTTATTATTCATATAGATATACAAAAAATGGACATACACAAACAATGGATACGATTCATATGAATGCAGATGAATTATTATTGTTTTTACAAACAGTTCAAAATGTAAATTTTATTTTTTTTTTAGTATATTAAAATTTTAATTTTAACTAATTTATTTTAATTTAGCAAAAAATATTAATAGATATCAAAACTGATAATGATCAAAATAGATTTATATTTAAATATATCGAAAAATCAGAACAAGTGAAAAAATTAATTGATGAATTTGAATTAGATATTGAATTCAGAGAAAAAGGTCAATTAGGCCTTGATGGTATGTATCATTATATAGTGTTGAATAAGTTCTTTATTTCAGTTCAAACTATTTGAAAAGTTCTTCGACAAGAGGATATTTTTAACTGTTCAATAGTTTTTGATTTTCAACTTTTCTGTACAAGATAGACTCGTGTAAGATTTGAAAAATTTAAAAAAAAAAGATTTCGTCTCTTTCAATTTTCTATCGAGATTTATAAGCATTTGACAGATTTATTTGTTAGTCTCAGACTCTAAAAATTTCAGCTTCAAAGGATGTTTCCTTCCTGAGATAGTAAAATTCCAAAAATCACTCATATTTCATGAAAGAAGCTAAAATTTCCTGTTTTTTTTTACGATGTTAGCATCATGTAAAGGAAATATTATTTTGAGCTGAAATTTTCAGAGCATTCTACTGACCAATAGAACTACTGTAGGTAACACCTTACATTGATATATCATCATTCGATTTATAGATATATACCAAGCCCGAGGCTAAAATTTCAGTACAATGCCTATAACTTTAGATAGAAGATCCAGCAGGATTTATCCTTATGAAGTTTTTTATATATCAATGAGGTATACTCTAGGCAAAGAGTCTAAATTCAGAAACGATTGATCAATTGAAAACATTCACTCATCACATGTAACCAAGAAGAAGTATCAGATTTAAAGAATCATTATTCTATCAATCTATTATAAGTAACATAAGCGACAACGGGACGAGTCTTAGATAAGCTGAAGCTTATCCTAGATTCAGATATCATAGGTTTCAAACATTTGTTTCTCATTCTATCATATTAATAGATTTTATTGACTAAACTTACATGTCTAAGAAATATTTTCAATAAAGTGAGCAGACTCACAAGGTATTTTCTATTCTTTTTTTGTAAACATTGCTGATTCATTATTATTCTATTTTTCCGTAACCTAGATCGAAAACTCTTCATTCAAGAGTCGAAATGAAATAAAAACAAACATTAGCGTCTTTCTTTTAGTACAAGTCTTTTGACAAAAGTTGTGAGTTTTTTCTGAATTGTAATAGATTTATACAATGCAGAATGAAAATTCCAAATAAAAAGTACTAATTGTGTTTCATTCAAATGGTATAAAAAGACTCACCTTTCTCCTCCATATTCTTAACTTCCCAGTAGTAATTTTATAAAGACTTGTGAATCTATTTTAAATTCAAATCGATCCACTAAAGATGATAACGAAGAAGAATATTCCTAACTTTCGGCTATCTAGCGATCTGAAGTGCTGCCTAGCGCCAGATTTAATAACTCGGCATCTTTACTACAACTATGATTACCTGTAGCTCTGGACAGAAGACTTGCGTGACAGAGTGTTCTGGTACTCAATGAATTGAGCTTCCCATACATACTAACTAGTCACAAAAAGAAGTCTAAATAATAACGTAGTCATCATGCTATCGAGTAGATAATCCGAGGCAAACATTCTTTAGCGACTTGCCAAGAATCATTGTATGGCAAGTGGTACGAAGATTTGAATAGAATACCTTGTGGATACATGTCGAACATTGTAGCTACTCAATCATGATGACAGGTCATATATATAATAAGTAGCTTTGTACAAAGCTGATTTTCGTCGCAGGTTAATCGTTCTCTAAACAGAGACAAAAGAAAACTTATTTCTCTACATTATTTATTTTTTGTAACATAAATATTGATCATACTTCTAGCTTAACATAAAATCATTAGTATTATTTACTGTCGTTTAATTGATGTAATTGAAAATCATTTTTTAGTAATAATGACATAGTAGACATTAATATCTATCAAAAATCTATTATTTTCATTTCAATTAATGATTTTTCATGAATCGAATAAATCGTAATTAATTAAATTAAATTAAATTTTTTTAGGTTTTCGAAATATGTTATTATCCAGTGATTTTGATATAGTAAAGCCATTATGTTCTCGTCAGATATATCAAAATATGACAAGGTAGATCAAAGTGAGAATATATATATTATTTCAGTTAATATAATTTTTTCTTATCTAGACCATTATGTGATTATTATATCAATACTTCTCATAATACGTAAGATTTGTTTAATAGAATTTTTTTATTTATATCAATAAATTATTTTTTTAGTTACTTATTCTACAGTCAATTAACTGGTGATAGCAATCCAGAAGCTTATAATCGAGCTTTATTAGCTGGTTGTCGAGCTGTTGAACTTGACTGTTATGATGGTCATGATGGTCAACCAATAGTCACTCATGGATTTACACTTGTAAAACCATGTTCATTCGAATCAATTATTCGTTATATGGAACCAAATCTTTTTAAAACTTCACCGTAAAAACATACGGATATTTGAAAAATTTTATATTTTATCTATTAATTAATTTCTTTTTTCTTTTTGTATTCGATAGATATCCAGTTATTTTAAATATAGAAAATCATTGTTCAATAGAACAGCAAAAAGAAATGGCTCGAATATTACGACGAATTCTCGGCAGTAAATAGAAAATCATATGAATTATTATTAATAGAATATTCTTCTTCTTTTTTTTTATTAAGATCGATTAGTTACAGAACGATTACCTCATAAAGATTCAGCAGTTTTACCATCACCTGAAGATTTAAAATACAAAGTTCTTGTTCGCGTAAGTGTTTAATTAGTTTCTTTTTTTTTTTATAATAAAAAAAAAAACGCTGTTGATTTTTCTTAGAGTAGAAAAAATACAAAAGCAACAAAACAAAATGCTACAATACAATTAGAAGAAGATGATGATGTACTTTTGGATGTATTAAGTAATGTATGTTCTCAGTGATATATACTATATTTGAGACTTCTATAATTCATAATTGTTTGAACACAATGAATATATTATTATTCATTACATTAGCTATATTTACATCTAGAAATTATTATTAAAGTCGATTGATCATAAGTATTCAGAGTTTTCTTCGTTTCAAAATAATGTATAAAAACTGAGGATACAATGGTCTACTCCTGAGAAAAATGATACACATTATCTATCACCAGTTCTACTGACGTTCAGTTTTGACTATACATGTGTGGGACCAAAAAACATCTTGATTTCTTACATCTCTATTGTCGATTACAGAAATCCAAATAAGAAAGAGTATAGAAGAAGTATTTTAGATATAAGACCAATAGATTCTGTAATAGTTTTCTCTAAACTGGAGTACACCACAAGAAAACTAAAATCAAACTCGGTTCCACACATTTCTGCTCTTGAAACTTTTTCGCCACAACCAAAGTATCGCAGTTTTCTCTGTCATATATAATAACTAAAAACTTCACCGAACATATGCAGATTTTTGGTATTTGTCAAGTAAGAGTAGATCCAATGTACTCAACCTTTTTTGCCAACAAACAAATGCAAGACAATAGATTAACATATCAGATGATAGAAAACTTTCAGCACATTCAGAATACGCATATGTTTTTCTCCGAAGGTATATATACGTAGATATTCATCCTCACACATACTAAACGAAAAGTACGAAATAAAAAAACAAAGAAAATATTGTTTGACTGTGAAATATATCTTTGAATATTTAATATTTTAGAATGCTCAAAATGATCCAGCTGGATTATTTCTTTATTTCGAAAATGTTCCATATCGTGAATATCAGTATGCTAAAGATCATTGTGAGTTATGAAATTGTTTTTTTTCCAAAAAAGTATCAATTTTTTTTAAACAGATTCACCATGGCATTCATCATCGTTGGTTGAAAATCGTTTTGAAAAAAATTCTCGTGAAGATCCGATTGGTTTAATTTTACAAACAACATGGCGTATTATTCGAACTTATCCCGGTGGTTTCAGACATGACTCTAGTAACGCTGATCCAGTAAATGCTTGGAACTATGGTATACAAATGGCTGCTTTAAACTATCAAAACGAAGATGATATTATGCCATTATGTCATGGAAAATTTCTTGATAATGGTGGTTGTGGTTATATACTCAAACCAAACTATTTAATCAATGCACATCAAACACATTATAATCCATTAAATTCTCAGCTTAATCTTGATTTTCCTCAAATTTTAACCCTAACAATAATAAGTGCACAATTTTTATCTCGATCAAATTTAATATCACGTGATATACCAGATCCATATGTATGTGTATCAATACATGGTTTACCTTGTGATCGACAATCACGAAAAACAAAAGTTATTGAAAATAATGGTTTAGATCCCATATGGAAGGAAACATTTTCTTTTCAAATAAAATATCCAAAAATGGCACTTGTATATTTTTCTGTTTATGATCATGATGCATTTACATCTGATGATAAACTTGCACAGTTTTGTTTACCATTAACAATGATGCAAACAGGTTAAAAACAAATCTTCTTTTTTTTTTTTGATAATGTTCATCCATTTCAAAATACAATATGCTTTACTATTTTTTGAATAGTTTTTGAGAGGAACATCATACGGGTCTGCTGTTTTCACCATCCAGAACAGGATACTTGAGATCATCGAAGTGTATTAAAATTTCATTAGGCTTCAGTTAACCAAGCAGGTAAGTTCTTGTTGAAAATTTTCAAAACAACATTCTGAAGTTATTTTTCTGCCGATTTACACAAGGCCGACATACCTCACGTATACCATTCGATAGTTATATGACTTTTTCTTGAACGCCAGATTTCATCCTATTGATTTGTGATCACATAGAAAAGCAATTAGACAGGAATAATTCACCATACTGAATCAAACCGTAATGTATGCATTTAGATTCGAAATGATCTAACACTGTTATGTCAATATTTCTCAAAATTTCACAATTAGATTCTATGTAACGAAGGACTTGACATTTCAGAAGTATTGAAGTCTCAGTATGAGATCTTGTCCAATCTAGAAAAAAGACTATCATCATTCAACTCAGCATGATGAATTACACTTGTCTAGAACAAAATAGATTAGAACTATCGATCTTGTATAGATTGATAGAGAAGAATTTTTTCTACTGATCAGTCCTATAAAGTATTTAAATCAAAACAAAAATAGCTTCAGAATGTCGTTTTCAAAAATATTTACCAAGAACATACATGATTTGTCAATTACTAATCCATTGAATTCCAACATACTTCGATGACTTCGTGTATTCTCTGTTCAATGGTGAAAATTGCAAGTCTCTATAATAATTCTGTCAAAATTTATTCAAAAAAAAAATCGTGCAGCAAATTATATTTTGAAATAGATAGTATTTATTCTCATTTTATTTTTCAATAGGCTATCGACATATTCATTTACGAGCTAATAATTATGATCCAACTCATTCAACTCTATTCGTCCACGTTAATATTGATAATGATGATGATAATATTCGTTCTACACGATTGTAATATATAGATGGATAAAGATAGTGTTTTGTTTTCTTTTTTTGTTTTCTAAAGTTTTCATAAAATGTGATAAATCACAGACAATTCTCTTTTTCTTTATTTGTCTTTTGATCATTAATATCCTACGTTATATTTAACGATGAAACAAATAGAACAAAACAAGACAAAAAAAAAACAGAATGTCTAAGCAAATATAGGAGTTGGAGTTTGAATATGTCCAAGTCTTCTTTTAATATGTTCGACTTCGCCACCATATTTACAAACAGCAACTCTCATCATTGCAAGTATATTATGTGCAGCTGTATTATGATCATGTATACCACCATAAAATGGAACAGTTGCATCTTTGCCAATATAACTTTTAATCATAGCTCGACCACCAGGATGTGAATCAATAAAATAACTAACATCATGAATAAAACCAGCAATTAAAATTAAAGCACGATCATCATCTTTCTTAGATAATTCTTGATATTCTTCAAATGTAATAATAGGTAAATCAACATTTTGTTTCGGCCATGATATAGTTTGACCAAATTTATCTAGAGCTTTACATGCCATTGAATAACGACCTTTTTGTATTTCATTATGAGGAAATTCTTTTAAATTACTAGCAAGACCAATTTTTTTAAAAAATTTTATTAATAATTTTGTTGGATCATATTGAAACCATTTAAGAGCATTTCGATAATCAGATGGAAATTCATGATGAAAATTATGATAACCTTCACCAAGTGTAACAAGAGCTGTTATAAAATGATCACGTGGTGTATGTCGATCATCAAATGGTGCATTACCTAAATAATGTGCTAATGAATTAACACAAAATGTTGAATGATGTACAAAAACAAGACGAAGAACACCAGCAAAAAAATAACCACCACGATAATCACCCCATCCAAATCCACAAATAATTGTTGGTAAAACAAATGACATTAAAAATGCTAAACTTATATAATTTCGATGTTGCCATTGTACACTTGAATCATGTGTTAAATCACTAACATCAGCTACACCTGGTTTTCGACGAGGTTTAAATAATAACCAACCAATATGAGAATAAAACATGCCTTTATGTGCATTATATGGATCAAGATCAGTATCTGTATAACGATGATGTGCTCGATGACCACGTGACCACCATTGTGCTGATCCTTGAACAGCACCAGCACCTAATGTAAGTAAAATATAACGTAATGGTAATGTTGCTTCATAAGCTCGATGAGCAAATAAACGATGATAACCAGCTGTTATACCAAAACCAGTAAGAAAATACCATAAAAGAGTAAAGGCAGTTGTTTGCCATACAAAAGATGTTGTAAAAAGTCCATATAATGCAATAAAAGGTTCAAGACATAATAATGTTACTTGTGGCCAATTAACTTCTTTATACCAATTAGACCATGTTATAGCTGGTAATGCAGATTCATTTAATAATGTTCGTGCTATATAATTATTTTTAATAAAATCTTCTTCTTCTTCTTGTTCAACATTCATTGTTGATAATGATTGATTATTTGATGATACATTTTGTTCAATAGTTAATATTGATAAATCTAATGGTTTTGGTACATATGGTAAAGATGTACCAGATTTATGTGAATCATTCATAACATACACCATTTTGATAGAAGAATGAACGAACAAATTTCCTGTTTTCTTCTGTTTATCTAGAAAAAGATGATCATCAATTGTATGACGAATACCTTTGTTAATAAATGCGGTCTGAATTTGTGATAGCTTTTATTTCTTTTTTTTTCTTCTCTATAACGTTGTATTGTATCCGACTGCTTTTATTTGTTCTGCACATCCAATTTTCTCCGGAACAGAAGAGTAGACAGAGAGAGAAATGGGTTGATCACGCCATATACAACAAATATGTCGAACAAAATCAGCTACTCTCTGCGTGATGCAATATTAAAAATTGAAGCATGTATTACTTTAATATTCTTTTTATTTTTGTTCATCAAAATTCATCACTATACTTATCTAATAAATCAATAATTAAGAAAAGAAAAGGTATAATGTAAATTCAAGATCACATACAATTATCAATCAAATTTCTTTTAAGAACATTTAATAAATACAAATATTTTAATTATCACAATGAATAAACATTTTATTCTATCTAGTGTGTAGTTAATTTCTTTAAGATAATTCAAATGGTACATCACGGCTGACATATACTTCAGAAAAAAAAACCGATGTAAAGAAAGATTTCTTTTTTTTTTATTCATTTATCAAGAAGAATTATATGAGCTTTCGTGAAATGTAAGAATAGTAATAATAAGAAGAAAATCATAGATTATATTGTGTTGCAGTTTGAAAATAATTTGCAAAATAAAAACTAGATACTTATTTCATGTTATGAGATAATAAAAATTAGATCTGAAAATTCTTTCTTATTATTAGTAATCATAGATGTAATGAAAATGAAGAGAAATTAAAACTTTCATACATCATTACAAGTGTTTTGTATTTTTATTTTATTTTTTACTTTATCGAACCCTTGAGCGTTGCTAAGTTTACCTAGAAATATATGTCATTTGTTTTTTTTTCTAAGTTGACGTACTTTGAAAATTGTCTTTTAAACACTTAGTGTCAATCTACCCTAGATTTTTCTTTTCTTTTTTCTTTTGTTGGCATTTTCTCTTTAATATTCAAGCTATTTATTTTTTTTTCTCTCTCAATTTCCTTTCAACATCAAATGAATACATAAAAAACCTACCATCGATTCTTATTACGTTTCCATTAACTTTATATTTGTTATCAATCATAAATTTATCTTTTTTTGTACTGACAATAGATTGTCACTTTGCTGAGGAAATATTAACTGATTATTTTCGCTCTTAAAAATTAATTATGGGACCTAATTCATACACTTTATAGAATGCATACAATACATAGATAGCATCATTCTTTATTCTATCACAACATGATTATACGTAACAATAGATTTTTTTTTCTTCTATTTTCTGTTATAATTATATGAAATTTCATTATTATTCTATCAAATATTAACATAAACATTTGAGTTATTTATAATAAAGACTCAATTTCATTGTTTATTCAAATAAAACTGTATTTTAAAAAATGCAATGATTTTACTCTAAGACAATGATCGCATCAAAATGCGAATACATATTCTTATCCATTAGTATACTCAATATTCTTCTATAATAATTTAAATAAACAATATTATCATTGTAACAATGAAATATAAAAAAAAATAAAAATAATAGATGTCTACTGGTATTTCAATATTTACCTGAAAATATTGTTGAATTATCTGTAAACACTCTGAAACTCAAAAAGACTGTGTTTTCAAAAAAAGAAAAATTTGTGTTTATATATTATTCCTTATTCTCTACAAAAAACTATATTGTGTTCTCATTAAACAAATATCTTCTGAGAGTCACTTCATTGAAATTAGATTCAGTAATCAAAGTAATGTGCATCATAGAGAATTGTTATGAATAATTTCTTTAAAATTTTAATTCAAGGCTGATCATATACACAATGCTTTTTTAACTATTTAAAGTGAAATTGAATAAAATTTCTTGTAAATTTGATTAATATTAACAGAAACGTCGTATATATTTTCTTCATATCGATTTTAGAAAAATAACAGTTTATTAAATTAAATATTCAAAGATTTCAGATAAAAACCTCAAAACAAAAAAAACAAATAATGATGTAAAGAAACTTTTTTTATCATTAAATAAAACAAAGATATAAAACTTTGCTTGTTAATTTATTAATAATGAACAAAATATATTTTTCAGTTTACAATAAACATCTATTATTTAGAAATGCATAAAGGAATAGAAACCTGTTTATATTAATTATAAAAAATTTCTGTGTCTTCTCATTTGCAAACATAAAATCGAAATTCAAAACCTAGTAAATTCAATTGCAATTGTTTTTTTGATTAAAATTATTCAAATAGACAATGATCTTTAAATCTCAGTGTTTTGAAATTTTTAAAAATTTATTGAGAACAAATATAACAAAAACTTGTATCTTCAGTTTTTACTTATAACTAACTACAATTTATAGACTTCGCTGTATATATTACTGTAACTATGAATGCCATGAGCTTTTATTTTATGAATTTGAACTCACCATCTAATTGACATTATGATTTGAAATTCAACATCGAGTAGACGCAAACTAGCCCAGACGTAAGGGCATTTATATACAAGACACAAAAAGACAAAAAATGATGTTCAGAAAAGGTGGTTTTCAAATATAAGTGTTGGTGAGCGTCTTCTCTTCACGCATACATACACCAATCCATTTTAGTCATGAAATGAATATTGAGTTATATCTATAAATTACGATGTTATTTCTTGAAAACCTTGCTTTCAATTTGATTGAAATTCTTCTTAGCTGAGCCCAAACCGATGGCTTTTGCTTGTGCGCCATGACTATTACTTTATCAATTAAAAAAAAAAAAACAAATGAGCTAGCCAGTCAATATTCATATAATTTTATCTCATATAACACGTGATACTTACTATTTGTAGAAAAGAGCACTACATCATTCTCAATACAATGCATAGCTTTCTACATGTCACCTTATTAAATTGCTTCTTTTTTTTTAAGACTTATGTCCTCTATATATTTCATCCCATCATTTAAGATAAAAAACGTTTATTCAAACAAAACCTCATGTCATTAACAAATTGCACTAAAGTTTCTTATAATGAAAATCTTCATTCAACAGAAAAATAACGTCCTCTACAAGTTGCAATATTTCTGTTAAGTTTAAAAAATTTCGTCTATCGAAATGACAGTAGCTTTTGAATGAAAGGAATTTTTCATTGAAATCTTTTAAAAAGATTTCTTTTCTATGCATGCTGTTACTAATCAAATTTCTTGGTTTTACAGGTGTATAAACTATATATGAGGAGCATCTATAAAGGACGTTTAGAAAAAGAATCGAGGGAGGGAGTGAAGCTGCGAGTTTCTCCAAATTCGGATTCAAGCTCACATAGAAC